TCAGCCAAATAGGCATATAAAATAAACCAAAATTTAAAAATTTACTATATAAAAATGCAATGTTCAATAAATTTCTATACAAAATTTCCTTTTTTAGTAACCTCTAAGTTATATCAGAGATCTTTGGGGTCCTGCAACAACAGACCCAACAGCAATAGCCAGTTAGTAACTCTAATAATACACATATTAGTACTAGCAACTCTCAACAAGACCAAATACTTCTTCAAAAGAACCAAACTCAACACTTCAACAGTTACCCTCTTTACATCAGGATAATACTAAACAACAACAATCATTAACTGATAATATACATCAATCTTCACAACAATCTCAACAAGCTAATGACCAAAATCTTACTGCAGATCAAGTCAAACCAATACTTGACTAGCTGGCAAAATTTCCTGTCACAAAAAAAATAGAAAAAAAACACAAAACTCCAAACAGAACTTGTTCTAAAAACTTTTTATTTCCTGAAATTACACCTCTTTAACTTCTATCCAGGCAAAGAGATTAAAGCAGCAACAGCAAATTGTAAAGCTCTTAAAGCTAGCTTCTATTAAATTATTCGCAAAATAGCAGAAGAAAGACCTCAATTCCTAACAAACTTTATACATGAATACAATCCAAATATTGATAAAGCTTTTACTATCCCTTTCTCAGTTCTAGAAGAAATATTTAAGAAACTTATCTTGGTTTTTACAACAGTCCTCTTTACCAAACTTGACTATCCTAAGATTTTTGCTTCATCTGCAACAGTTCTATCTCACAAACCACAAAACAAACTACAATTCTGTATTAATCTCGCCCGATTATACTTATACCTATCTAATAATTATCAAACCATCAACTACGCCAAGTTCTTAGAAGATATAAAATTACGTCCTAAGCGATTCAAAATCACATCACAAGTTATTGACTACGACAAAGAAGATAAATACCTTAAAATATATATAGACAGCAGATTTAATATTACACTTCATTTTAACATTTCAAAAACTCTCTTTCTTAAAAAATTCAATATACCATCTCTAAAAAACTCTCTTGAGCATTTCAATAAATGGTTTGAGTTATTCTATACTAAATATAGCTAACAATTTAGTAACACTCTTGACAAAACAAAAGTTTGCAACTCTTTAAAATACTAGTTTAGACAACAGTTTATTTTATATCTTAAAGAATTAATTTCAATAACGATTTCATTAACAGAACCCTCTTCTTTTCAAGAACATCGTGATGACTGCATCAGATATGCCAACCACCACATACTCATATGCTCAGATACTCTATGCAAATATTTAGAAAAAATAGAACCTGAAAATAAAGGCAAATCACTAACAACAGAACCAGAAATGCAAAATACTCAAAAAATACTATATAGACATAACTTTAATAAGCTTTATAAGGAATTTCTTAAAGATTCATTTGAAGAATGGCCAACAAAAGAACTCCAAATAGATGAATCCATCTTTCTTAAAGATAGCAAATATGAGGCTATTCTCTTCAAGCCTATTTCAACTAAAATACTTGATGAATTAGCAAACTCTGCTGAAAAATCTCATTGTGAGATTAATACAGTTGAAACCAACTCAGGCAAACATAGTCTTTTCTTTTACATGTATTTAAAAACATATCAAAGAAATGCAATGATAAATCTTAATGTTGCAGATCTAGAAAAACATGAAGCTATTGAATTACTTACAAAACAACCTATTAGTACTAACTCTCTTGCAAGAATCATAACATGATTTGATACCTATAACCAACGTCTTACATATCTCCAAATG